TTAAGCTGAAACCAGCTTTGCCTTTTTCTTTTTCATCGACCTTCTAGTTTTTGAGGCACCCACAACAAGGTTAGCTTGCTCTTCAACATGACAGCCCTTTGCTGTTTGAAAACCACTACCTCCTCTTTTCCAAGCCAGCAACTTCAGTTTCCCTCGGTGGTGACTCATCATCTGGTTGGCCCTCTGACTGTCTCTTTTTATGTGTGGTAAAGTAAAGTATGACAATTATTGTCCATCAACAGTAGATGAGTCTTTTCTCAATGCAGGTTAAGATTGCATTAGCTTTTTGGACAACCTTGTAACACAGTTTGCTCCTGTTGGCTTTAGGTAGCTGTAACCTCCTGATTATTAGTCTGTTCAGGCTTTCTGTAGCAAAATACCATAGACTACGTGGCTTAAACAACAGACATGTAATTTCTCACAGTTCTGGAGGCTAGAAGTCCAAGATCAAGGTTCTGGCTGATTTGGTTTCTGGTGAGAACTCTCTTCCTGGCTTGCAGACAGATGGTTTCTCGCCGTGTCCTCACATGGCTTTTCCCTGGTGTGTGTGCATGGGGGGAGAGCGAGCTCCGCTGTCTCTCCCTCTTTTATAAGGACATCAGTCCCATCAGATTAGGACCCACCCTTATGATCTCATTTAACCTTTGTTACCTCCTTATAGAGCCCAACTCCAAATGCAGTCATATTGGGGATTAGGGCTTCAACATATGAATTTGAGGGGACACAACTCAGTCCATAACATCCTCCAATCATAGAGTGTGGCTGTGTGCTGGAGACCTGTGATGGAGAATTGAAGGAAAGGGGCGCGACCGCTTAATTTGGGCTGCGGGCAGTATGGGAAGACTCATAACTGCCCTTCTGCCTTTAGGGGCTGTGCACCCTGTCTCTGTAATCCCACCAATCCTCTGAGGTTCCCCTTGGTTTTGAGTAGCTGTGATACTGACAAGTTGGGGACAGAAAGAGAGACAGCTGAAATCTGTTACCGCATCAATCACGCTGAGCTTCAAGCCCGGGCACTTCCCCATCCATCTCATATTGGGCATTTTGACTTCCTGCCATAGGAAACAGATGCAGGGAGGGTAAGTTGTAAGCTGGAGCCCTTAATCCTAAGGGCAACGGGAGCTCTCCCAGGACCTTTGCTGCTGGCAGGATGACTGTGGAGACCTGCCAGAGAAATCCCGGCAGCCCTTGAGGAGAGGCTTAAGGTGGGGAGACCCACTGCTCCTGGGACTCAGCCTGCTTCTGTCCAGAAAAGCGTGAGGACGGGGCAAGCAGGGCATGTGTCCCTCAGGATTCTCTAGATTGCAAGTGCTAGAAAAACCAAAAGTGCTGTAAGCAGGATGGGAATGTATTGGTTCACATGAAGTCCACAGGCAGGCTGAGCTTCCAGTGTGGTTTGGTCCAGGGCTCAAATATTATCGCCGGGATCTGTCTCCAGGCTTGCTTAATCCGGGTGTCAGCTTTACCAGATCACTTTGTGGTTTCATATCCTCCCACTACCAATTCCAGAGGAAGACTGAACAAGTTTCCTTGGCTCTGACTGGTTTATGTGCCATGCTGGAACTAATCAGTGTAGCCATAGGGATGGGATATGTTGTTATTTTAAGCCAATCAGGGACTTCCCTATAGCTAGGGTTTGAGTCAATTCCGTGGAAACCACATGACTAGAGAATGGTGGAGGGTGCTTTCCCAAAGGAAATTTTGGATACTTTTTCCCAAATGAAAGTTTGGATCTTTTGGAACTTTTGGGAATGGCTGTTGGACAGAGACAATAGGTGTGTATTACAGAGATTTCTGACATGGTCCCTAACATCTTTAGTCAATGTTATTGGAATGTCCTTAAGAATTGTAATAAGTTGTCATTTCTCGTCATACTCTTATTATAGCAACTTTATGTTTTTATATTCTAGAGTATGGGACTATAGTCCCCTCAGATTATCTCCCATTTACTCCCGAGATTCCCCCCATTCTCTTGTCATTTCTGCCCATCCATCTAAAAGCTAATACTTATTGAGTGTCTACTGTGTGCCCAGAGATGCTAGAAGCTGGGGATGTTGCGGTGAACAAGAGAGAGGTGGTTGCTTCCCCCAGGGGGCTTTCAGTCTAGTGTTCCAGTCTCCTCATCAAGCTGCCGTGCTGGTGCATGTCCATCACGTCATGTGGCCCAGACATCTCTGATCTCTCTCAGGCGGTGGCTGCCCCCACTACTATACTGGCTTTGCCCTAGTCATTATTATGCTATGCCACAAAGAAAGCAGGATCTCCCCTTAATTCTGCAAAGCATGGCAGAGACTGCTGTATGCTCTCATATGTGCAGAATACCATTTGTCACAATTGTCACGAATTATCTGTATATTATTTGTTCAATATCTTTCTCTCTAGACTACTTGTAAGGGTAGCGACTGTGTCTATGTTATTTGTCATTGTTCTCCCTTGCTTAGCACAGTGCCTGGAGCATACTAGGCATTCAAATACTTAAAAGATCTGCTAGATTGTCAGGTTTAACAAGACTACTTAAGGTGAAAGAATAATGAAACAAAAATACAATACAAAAAGTTGCCTGAAACAGTTACTAGGTGTGTATGTTGGTCGGCTCAGGCTGCCATAACAAAATACCATAGATTGGGTGGCTTAAACAACAGAAATTTGTTTTCACACAGTTCTGGAGGCTGGAAGTCCAAGATCAAGGTGCTGACTGCTTGAATTTCTGGTGAGAGCTCTCTTTCTGACTTGTAAATGGCTTCTTTCTTGCTATGTCCTCATATGACGGAGAGAGAGAGAGAGAGAGCAAGCTCCTTGGTGTTTCTTCTTATAAGGATACTAATCCTATGAGTTCAGGGCCCCACCCTTATGACTTCATTTAACCTTAATCATCTCCTTATAGGCTCTATCTCCAAATATAGTCACGTGGAGGGTTAGGGCTTCAACATATGACTTTTGAGGGAACACAATTCGGTCCATATCAGTGTTGCTTACTTAAAAGTACATAGCTCTAGAGTACCTTCAGGGACTGGTCTAGTGCCCACCTGCCTAGTTTCCTGCATGTTTCTCTGTGGCAGAGGCCAGCTGACTGTATCCTGGAGTGCTCTAAGCATGTCAACTCATAAGAATATAAGCATAACTCCCCCAAGACCCAGAAAGAGAATGAAGTTCCTCTCCTCCCAGTCTAAGGTTGGCTTTCTCAGTCCCTATTTTTTGTCCAAGTTTCTGTCTCATCCAAAGATTGGGACTCTCCACTCCCTTTAGGGGAAGTTTATCCTCAATCCATAGCTCCCCTCTGAAAAAAAGGACAAAAATGTCTCTAAAGACCACTCAACCCAAAATGAAAATCTTCTCTACCAAACAGAATACTTATATTTTTAATTTGAAACATCTACAATTAGGTTATTTTACTTTATTCTCCAAGAAAAAATGGTAGGTGTAACCAAGGGTACATTTGCGTGTTTTTTCCCAAAACAAAAGGCTCTGCCCACCCCAGAGGAAATTCAAGTCCTTGTATCTGGGCAGATAGAATTGCTTCCAGCACTTAGACGGCAGCGTCCCTTCCACTACTGTTTCCTCTCAGATTTTACCCATCAAGGCTTGGAAAATATTAGGAGTGGTACATTATACTTGCATTGCTTGAGTCTGGTACTGAATCACATTGTGCAGTATTTTAGCTTCTCAAGCTAGACCTCTGTGTCTCTGAACCGTGATGACTGGAATAAAGGATAAAACTCTATCCTAAAACTGCCAGAAATGTGTTTTCTGTGTGTGTAATGGGTCGAAGCAGGAATAATATTTAGAGCATTGTTTTTCTTTGTTCTGAAAACCCTCTAGGTCATACAGCTGTGATTCAAAAACCAACTCCCTGTTGCTGGAATAGCCTTGAATATTGGTAAAGTCAACCAAATAGAAATACTTCAAGCTGGGTGGTATTTTCTTTAGCAATGGACAATAATGTTTCTCGAAGAGAAAGACAAATTTTTAAAAATGTGTGTTTTTTCCCCCTGCATCCTCATTGATTGATTGGTCTAGAATTTCTGTGGAGAATGTTTGACATGACTAATAAGTACTCTAAAGTTCAATGAAGAAACCACTTAGACCATTAACAGCTTAAAAACAAGAGAAGAGTAAAATATAATTTCCAAATGGTTGAGTCTAGGTATTATCTTTCTTGGTAATAATAGTAAAGGTAACATTTATACAGTGCTTTAGAGTTTATAGAATGTTTGATGGGTTACCATTAGGTCTATTTCAGGGATAAGCACTCTGCTGAAGCCCAAGCTACTAAGTAACTCCAAATCTCATCATTCAAATACTGAGTGGGTATTTGTGGTGGGGTTGGGGCATAGTGTTCCCTCTTCCCACCCCCGAGTTTTGCTTCTGCTTCTGCTAGGTTTCTCCATTCTCTCTGCCCTGCCCCCAGCATGTCTAGAGCTTCTCCTGCCTCTGGGACAAAAAGGGATGAGGGAGTCTTTGCCACCAAAGAAGAAAGAGCTATCTGTGAGATAACCATGTTACTAGACTGAACTCAAAACTGTTAACTCAGATCCTTGTATTTATGTATTCGTCCTTGCTCACCATCAGCCATTTGATGGATATTTGCTAGTACACATGCATTTGATGCCACCAGATTCTGTATTTTTCCATTACCTAGCTAAGGTCCACTGTTGGCAAATACTGAATGTGGCAAAGTTAGGAATTTAGAATCAGGAAAAACGTTCCTGGGTGGGCCAAGGGAGATTTCAAGTCCTATGAGCTCTGATTGACCTTGGGGAGGTGGTGATGAGATAGAGATGACAGATTTTGCTCTGTGGACACTTTCTTCCAGCATCACTCTCAGGATCACTGCCCATGTGTGTCCCCTGCAGAGCAGAGGAAAACCCAAGCTTTCTATCCCTTAGGCTCTCTGTTCAGAGAGCTCTGAGCAAAATTGCTCCTCCCCTTGGGGTTCAGCCAAACGGAACCTTCTTTGTGACCTCTGATTTCCTATTGCTGAGGAAAGAGGAAATCGCTGGGTTATGGAGAGCTCATCAGGCCTGTACAGAAAACAGGGCTTCTGACTTGTTTGTTCTCAAAGGGCAAATTGTTGTGCCTCATTCGCACGTTAATAAAAGTACTATCCAGTAGTGGTAAGTGAGAGTCTTCCTGATATGTCTTATTTTAAGTCCTTTGAGTTATTCCTTTGATGTTTATTTCATGGTGTGCTGTCATTTTGATGTGCTGTTTCTTTGGCTGTGCTGAGTGTTGCATGCATGTATTTGGATAGGTGTACTAGTATCTTCATACATACGTTTTCGAATCAGAGAATGTGTTTTCCCCTTTGGAATTGCTCTTATTGGAAGGGTATTTCTCTATATGTCGTTCATGGTCAAGCTTTGCCCATGTTTGGCTCTTTGCAGTTGTTTTCTTTTTAAACATATACCCGTGTATGTGTTATTAAGTAATCTTTCTCTCCCGTGTTCTCCAAGGGAAGCCACGCATAAAAAAGAAGTGCAAGGGGAAATTCCACTGCATCTGTGCTCTTGGTTACTTTCTCAAACAATAGTTAAACTCTTCACCGCAGAAAGAAAACCTCGCTTGTGAGGATGGATGGGGGAATCCACCCAGTGTTTTAAGTTTATTTTCTTGGCTTCACTCTGGTCACTCTCCCAACCTCTTTTTCACTGTCTCCCAAGTACCCAGGACTGACTTGGGCCTCTCTTTGAGCTAGTTATATGGGTCTTTCTGTTCTTTCCCTGACACCCGAAAAATGACTTTGAACCTGGAGGATTGTAGCCTCTTAAGATGTGGGGGTTTTGAGGGTCAGAGAAGAAAGTTCTGACCACAGTTGAAGTTTGAGAGCAGAAGTGCCTGAGATTCCTTTCTCTTCAAGTATTGAATGAGTCAGGCTCACTGCTCTGTTCAAAATTCTACCAGCTTCTTTCTTAACATCTTCCTCATTTAATAGTGGCATAGAGATGCTGCCTCTGATACCAGTGGGGGTAACAACTTACAGGGCTAGAATGAAGAAACCTGTATTTAATGTCCATTAGCATTTGAGCTTCCTCAACGTGCAGAGTTTGCTCAATTTCTTATTGACCCAGTGCCTGTAAATCAGGGCTTATTCCATGGGAGACTTTATCTTCTTGGTATGGGGATAGATGATCCATAGTATAAGACAGAACAGGCCCGGAGAGCATTGCAATTATTGCTACTGTTATTCCTGCTGCCCTACTACTATAGGGCAGTATACCCTATAATAATAATATATATAATAAATAATTACCATTTATTTAGCACCAATATTATTTAGCATGCCAGATGCTTTACATAATTAGATCATTTAGCTATCTGACCATCCTAAAAGACAGGTCTTACTATTAACCCTTTACAGTAGATGAGGAAACTATGTTCATAGAGGGCAAGTAACTTGTGGATGATCGCACAGCTAGTCAATGATAGAGCTGATTTAAACCTAGGTCTGTTTGGCTCTATAACCTATGCCATTTTCACTAGGCCAGCCTGTAGTCTTTAAATACAGACAACACACTCCCTTTTATTATCTCAGGGGATTTCACAATAGTCCCCAGAAATGGCAGGGCATGTATCATGAAAAAACGTGAAACAGAGAATATGAATGACCCTCAGAGCTAGTTATCAGCACTGTGTCTCAGGGCTCCCAATCCCCAGCCCTGTGCTCTGCGTCCCTATGGAGCAATGGTGTTTTACTGATTCTGTTTTTATAAAGCCACCCTGCAAATTAGTACCGGCCCAGAGCCTGAAAATTAGACCAGAGGGACAAGAGTCCTAGCAATTATTGACATTGCTCTTCCTTGTATACTTTCATGCTGTGTATTTTGTGCAACCACACTCACTTGGATCAGCAGCATTGTCTTTACAGCACCGTTGTCTCTTGAACAGCATAGACATTCTAGCGTGGAAATAAATGCCTGGTCTGTTGGCTGAGTAGTGTAGAGATCTGTGCATTGCTTTGATCAACAAGAATTTATTGAAAACAGTACATGCCCACTAACGTCAGACTGTCCCAACAAAGTTCTGCTGGGCAAGACTTTTGCAATTGGTGGCCTCTAAAATGTGAGGAATCATTGGAAGCTCTTTAAGACACAGTCTCCTCTCCATGATCTGTACATGGCTAACTTATGTTGTGGATTATCAGAGTGAGCATTGGCTGTTTTTTCCACCATTGGCTGAATTCTGGGCTGCTGCTGGGGAACCAAAGAGGCCAGGGCAAGATGCCTGGAAAGGTGTGTTTCTGAGGGAGGGTCTGTGTTCTAGAGGTAAATATAAACATTTGGCGGATTGTATGTTGTACCTTGGAGGTTAAGAGTACAGGCTCTATAGTCAGTATTTCTACTGGGGTTCAAATCCTGGCTCTGCTACTTCTACCAGCAAGATTTTGGGCAACTCTGGGTGCTTCTGTTCCTTACCTGCAAAATGAGAATCAGTACCTCTCTCACAGGGTTCTTTAAAGATTAAATGAGTTAATACATACCCTAAGAATACCTGTCACATAGTTAGCTATTATAAGAATAATTATTATAATTTTTCTCTCATTTATTTTTCCTTCATTTCTCAAAAAGTAACTCACATTTTTGATTAAAATATTTGAATGCCTTACCTTATACACCTTTTCTCTCTATATGCCTTCTTAGTAATTTAAGTTGTGTGTATTTTTAAAAGATAGCTTTTAAATACAATAAAAAAAAATGGGAGAAATATACCAATTTAGAGATTAATAGAAAAGCCCATTTCTTGGAAACCCAGATGAGAAGGAAATATTTTGAAACTCTACTAGAAGAATAGCATCTAGAGTATGACTTTTCCTAGTTTAAATTCTGAGTGGCTCCACATCCGCTTCACCCCACAGACTGAGCCCTCTTTAAGGCACATTCGAGATCCTTTCATTCTGCTTCCCTCATCTTGCACACTCCCCCTTACCTTCTGTAAGTCAAGTAACAAAGAGAGCGTGGATCAATACAAACATGTCGCCCTTAGTAGAACAACTCAAAAGTTGCTGTTCTAGCCACAGGAAGTTTGTAGCGCTTCTTCATGTACATTAATTACACATACACTTGGACTTCGCATAGTGCAACAAAGTTATTCTCAATTATTTTTATTTTATTTTTTTAAAGATTTTATTTATTTATTTCCCCCCCAAAGCCCCAGTAGATAGTTGTATGTCATAGATGCACATCCTTCTAGTTGCTGTATGTGGGACGCCGCCTCAGCATGGCCAGAGAAGCGGTGTGCCGGCGCGCCCCCGGGGGATCCGAAACCCGGCCGCCAGCAGCGGAGCGCGCGCACTTAACCGCTAAGCCACGGGGCTGGCCCTATTCTCAATTATTCACATATGAATTATTTAGTCCAGTGGGTCTCAATTCTGACTGATCATTAGAATAACCTGGGGGGGGGGCTTTGAAAAATACATGTAACAGCTTAAATATTAGGTAGTTTATTTCTCTTCATTTAACAGTCCTCAGTGGGTATTTTTGTTTGAAAAGCAGTTTTCTTTTACTGATGATGCAGGGTTGTCCATCTTGGGAAGGCAGGTACCTCAATCTCTCTCCCAGGTACCCTCTGGTTTGCTAGAACTTTCTTCACTTCCTCATCAAAGTTTACCTCTTCCAAGTTCCATTTCTCCACAAGAATGGAATCTGGCTCATCTGATTAATTTGGGCTTATAGTAATATTATACATTTTATAACACCTTACAGTTTATTAGTATCAATGAAAACGTTAACCAGCATCTCATGAGTGTCTGGTATACGCCAGGCACCATGCCGGATACTTCAATTCATACTAGAATGTGAGCTCCCAAAAGACAAAGGGTCTGGTCTGTTTTGTTCATTGATGCGTGCCAAGCACCTGGAACAGTGCTCAATAAATATTTGTTGAAAGGATGAATATTTGTTGAATAGACAAATGAATAATCTTCATAATAACTTTGAAAGGCAGAATTATTATCTCCATTTCCCAGAAAAAAAAGTGAAGCTCAGATAAACGCTTTGCCTGAGGACATATGCTTGAGTGGGAGCAGAGCCTAGAGAGGAGTTGAGGTTCCCAAGCGTACATCCTTTACTCCTTTTCCCTCCCCCGGTCCCTGTCCCTTCCTGTTGCTTCTCCCCATCTACTTCCCTCGTTTCTCTCTTTTTCTTCCCCCCTTTTCCTCATTCCTCCCTCTTTTCCCTGCCTTTGTTTCTCTTCCTCTTTCCCCCTCTTTCTTTTCCTTTTCTCTTCCCCTTTTTCCCTTCCCTTTACCCATTGCTCCTTTCTCTCTTTCTTAAAGCACTTAACAAATACAGCATTTTACTTCTTAGACTCTCCTAGCAATGTTAGGTGAGCAGAGCAGTTATTCCTCATTTTGCAGGTGAGGAATCTGAGAGGGGTTAAATGACTTGCTCATTTCCCGTGGCTAGTTAACATTGGAGCCTCAACCTAATTGTCTTCCCACTAGTCTAGTTAGCACCTGTCCCACAGTATGCACTGCCTTGCAGGTACCAGTGGTTGTGGATGGCAGATGGTGATACTTCTCTGAAACATTCCTTAGCTTCCAACTGAGTGGAGTGGATTCTGAGGCAATTTACGAACCAGACCAGGTTTGTGAGGGAGACCATGGGGAAGGCAGGCCTTGGATTCTCCTCAGATCCCACCATCTGAGTGACACTTACTCATAAGGCTGTCTCCTGCAGAAGAAGAGGATTCCAAGCTGATTTCAAAACCTGCCAGTGCACCGGAGCCCTGCACAGCATCAGAAGCAGTGCCTCAGAACGGTACCTCTTTTGGTGGGGGAGTTGTTAGTATTCACCTATTTTGAAATCACCACTTGAAGTCCCATGTAGATAGATGGTGCTGGCTCATTTTTACTTTGGGGTATCATCTTTTTCTCCAGTCTAGTTCCTCTCGTGTAGTATATTAGTGGTATTCTATGGCATACCACGAACAATTCAAAACCCAAACTGCACATTATTATAGCGCTGACCGAACACAGCGGGTACTATCCAGCGTTATGCTACACTTCTTGGGTGATTTAAGACATTAAGTCAAGGGCCACCACACCAACTAAAACAGGTCCTGAAGTATTTTAATTTTATATTAGTTAAGAAAAAGGTTTATCTTTTGGCCAAATTCCATACAAGATCTGGGTGTCTTTTATTGTTGTTGTTGTCATTATTTTCTTTTTTCCCCCAAATAAAATTTGTATTTTAAATTACAAATAAAATTGTGGTATATTTAATGTATACAATGTGACGATTTGATATACATATACATTATGAAATGATTACTACAATCAAGTTAATTAACACATCTATCACATCACAGTTACCTTTTTTTTTTGGTAAGAATGCTTAAGATCTACACTCTTAGCAGATTTCAAGTATACAATACAGAATTATTAACTATAGTCACCATGCTGCACATTAGATCCTCAGAATTTATTCCTCTTATAACTGAAAGTTTATACCCTTTGACCAACATCTTCCCCCAAGCCTCTGGCAACCACCATTCTATCCTCTGTTTCTATGAGTTTGACTTTTTTTTAGATTCCACATATAAGTGATGACATACAGTATTTGTCTTTCTCTGTCTGGCTTATTCCACTTAGCATAATGCCTTCCAGGTTCATCCACGTTGTTACAAATGGCAAGATTTCCTTCTTTTTATGGCTGAATAATATTCCATTATTTTCTTTATCCATTGATCTGTTGATGGACACTTGGGTTGTTTCCATATGTTGACTATTGTGAATAATGCTGCAATGAACATGGGAGTGCAGATATTTCTTTGAGATGGTGATTTCATATATCCCAGAGGTAAAATTGCTGGATCATATGGTAATTCTATTTTCAATTTTTTGAGGAACCTCCATACTGTTTTTCATAATGGCAGTACCAGTTTATATTCCCACCAACAGTGTATAAGGGTTCCCTTTTCTCCACATCATTGCCAACATTTGTTATCTCGTCTTTTTGGTAATAGATATCCTAATAGGTGTGAGGGAGTATCTCACTGTGGTTTTGATTTGCATTTCCCTGATTAGTGAGGTTGAACATCTTTTCATATTACCTATTGGCTATTTGTATACCTTCTTTGGAAAAATGTCTATTCAGGTCCTTTGCCCATTTTTTAATTGGATTATTTGTTTTTTTGCTATTGAATTGTAAGAGTTCCTTATATATTTTGTATATTAACCCGTTATTGGATATATGGTTTGCAAATATTTTCTCCTTTCTTGTTTTCTTTGCTGTGCAGAAACTTTTTAGTTTGATGTTGTCCCACTTGTTTATTTTTGCTTTTGTTGCCTGTGCTTTTCATGTTGTATCCAAAAAATCATTGCTGAGATCAATATCGAGGAGATTTTCCCATATATTTTCTTATAGGAATTTTATGGTTTCAGGTCTTATCTTTAAGTCTTTAACTCATTTTAAGTTAATTTGTGTTTATGGTGTAAGTTAAGAGTCCAATTTCATTCTTTCGTGTGTGGATATCCAGTTTTACCAGCACCATTTATTGAAGAATCTCTCTTTCCCCGTTTTGTATTCTTGATGCCTTTGTTGAAAATTAATTGACCGTATATGCATGGGTTTATTTCTGGGCTCTCTATTTTGTTCCATTGATCTATGTGTCTATTTTTATGCCAATACCATACTGTTTTGATTACTATAGATGTGTAAGATAATTTGAAATCAGGAAGTGTGATGCCTCCAGCTTTGCTCCTCTTCCTCAAGATCGCTTTAGCTATGTGTGGTCTTTTGTGGTTCCATGCAAATTTTAGGGTTGTTTTTTCTATTTCGGTAAAAATGCATTGGAATTTCCATAGGGGTTGAAATAAATCTATAGATTGCTTTGGGTAGTATGAACATTTTAACAATATTAATTATTCTAATTCATAAACATGGGCTATCTTTCCATTTATTTATGTCTTCTTTAATTTCTTTCATCAGTGTTTTATAGTTTTCGGTGTATAAATTTCTCACCTCTTTGGTTAAATTTATTTCTAAGTGTTTTACTCTTTTTGATGCTGTTGTAAATGGGATTGTTTTCTTAATTTCTTTTTCAGATAGTTTGTTGTTAGTGTATAGAAACACAACTGATTTTTGAAGAGCTGAGTGTCTTAATCTGTTTGGGCTGCTATAACAGAAATACCATAGACTGGATAGCTTATAATCAACAGACATTTATTTCTCACAGTTGTGGAGTCTGGGAAGTCCAAGATCAAGGGGCTGGCAGATTTGGTGTCTGGTGAGAAACCACTTCCTGGTTCCCAGACTGTGCCTCCTTGCTGTGTCTTCACATGGCGAAATGAGGCAAGGGAGCTTTCTTGGGACTCTTTTATAAGGGTACCAATCCCTTCATGGGGAAGCCACCCTCATGACCTAATCACTTATCAAACACTCCACCTCCTAATACCATCACCTTGGGGGTTAGGATTTTGATATATGAATTTTGGGGGAACACAAATATTCAGTCCATAGCACCAAGGAAGCACTATAAGCACAGAGCTAGGTAAAGAAATGCTTTTATTACTTGATTTTGTTGTTTTTTGTCATATCTCAATGTATGTATTATGGTATATGTTCTTTCTGTGACATGTATACTTATGAATATTTTAGATTTACTTTTATGTTTGTGTCTGTGTAATCCTTTTCCAAAGAATTCCATGAAGCAATAATATTTTGTATTATGGTAAAATGTTTTTGTAGTAAATACATTGATAGAATGTTTATTCTGGTAGTAAATTAGTAAATTTAAAAGTAAAATGATGTCACTGGCTAGAGTAAGAGGGAAAAATTGATGTTATGTGCAAAAACTCATTCTCACTGATGTTTTTAAGTCTATATGTGTATGTGTGTGCGTTTATATGCACGTACACTTATGTTTGACTGGTGGTTTGGGAGTTTTCGATTGCATCTTTAGCTAACCAGGGGATGGAGAATGGGAGGGAGGATTAAGTCTCTGAGTTTGACAAACTCAGGTAAAGAAGCATTTACTAGGCAATGTACTCAACAAGTACCCAACTACATAACCTACTCCGCTCTGGAAGACATAGTCTTTGCCTTGAAGAAGCTTGAAGTTTTTTCTGTGACAGACATGCATTCAGTTAACGGAATGTAAGGCAGGCCAATGTAAAAACTCAGTTAGAGGTAAGACAAAATTGCTGCTTGTAATGGGTTGCAGGATTTCCGCTCTCTCATTTGTTTCATAGCACCCTAGCAAATGAAGATCACTTCACCAATGGTGTGTAACTCTGTACTTTATATAGAGCTGATTTTTAAGAGTGCATTTATGAAATTGGATTATTCACTTAAAAATATGTTTGTATCCTGTAAACAAATCTTTTTTATTAGAGCCACTTGTCACCTTGTTATAGTGAATTTATTATTTACTGTAGGAATTTTAACTGATGAAGGTATGATGTAATTTGTTTCTTTTCCATAGAAAAACGAATGACTTTTTCTAACTAAAGTTATCTTGGAAAACCCCATCTTTATAGAGTGTATTATGTTTAAGCTGGGAGAATATTTATAAATGAGGGTTAGTTATTAATGATTTTTCTTAGGTAAGGGGAGGAGTCTAGTTTAAAAGACTGTGTGGGCTGAAAATGCTATGTTAGTTATAAGACTCAATTGTAAATAACTTGAAACAGGTATCATGACCACTACCCCCTCTTTCTCTGATGACACATAGTAGATGTTTGCTTGCTGGCTCGCTTTATCATTTTTGGTCAGATCTTCTCAGTAGCAAAGTACTTTTTGTTATTTTAGGCAGCAAAGGAAGGGAGAAAGATTTATACATATAAGCCTTAGTGAAATCTTATAACATTTCAAACTCTGGAGTGATAAGGAGAAAGCTGCTAGGAAATTCGTCTTTGCCTGGAATGGAAATCATGTTACTTTAAAAAAAAAAGAAAGCAAAAATTAAGAAGAAGTTTTTAAGGAATTACTTATGCTTAGGAGTGTGCTAAAAGTTACGGGAAAATCAAAAGTAGCATATGACATGGTTAGTACCCTAAAGAGCTGTCTACTTGAGCAGATAAGATTAAGACTGATGAAAAAATTAAATACTAAAACAGGAAAGCCCCAGAGACACCAGTGCAGAGTTTAAACAGCTTGTAAACCCCTGCTTCATATGTTGAAGCATATGAATGTTTTCTTTTCCTTACATAAAGCAGCAGTCAGCTCTGCTGGTCTAGTGGTTAAGATCTGGCCCTCTTACCACAGCGGCCCGGGTTCATTTCCCGGTCAGGGAACCACACCACCGTCTATCGGTTGTCATATTGTGGTGGCATTGGCTGATACAGCACCGGAAGGTGAGAGGATGGCGCAAAACAATGGGGCAGAGTTCCTCCCCACAGGGTCACTAGAAATAGAAATTGACTGATGGCACCACCACCAACAATATAAAGCAGCACACCTCTACTTCTGCCAGCACATTAAAGCCACTTTTGTCAAATGTTTGTGTTTGGAGTTAAATCTAAGTGAAACAGCAAACCATACTAACTGTATAAAGTCAGGCAAGAGAAAATCTTAAATTCAGAAAGATAGCAAGGAAATCTCTGAACTGGCTGGGGCCAGTGGACAAAATCACCCCAAGGTCTGCTTCAGGCTCCAAATCGAGGTGTCCTTCAGAATCTATTCTACCCTCTCTGCACTTTTGGCCTTTGCTGATGGGAATTTTGTCTGGGAAAGGACAGAAGAATGGGGCTCCGGCCAATTGGGGTGTGTGGTCACTGTCATAAATCCGGGAATGTCCAGGAGAAAAGATGAATAATGCCTTGCCTTTTCCTTGTTGTGAGGTCTTGCCGGTTCTGGCCCTGCCCTTAGCCCCTTGAGGGGTCTCATTGCTGAGGCTCATGAACTGCTCCAGAACCCAAGCTTTTTTTTCCCTTCCAAGGAAGCCGCATGCTACTGGTGCCAACTAATACCTTATGCAGTTTTTCCAATAGCTTTGTGGATCAGTTAGGTCTCTGTTTCTGTGCCTGAAATCCCAAAACATACTGACTAAACCAGAAAAGGAAATTTTTGGCCCTTCTAACCTGCAGAGCCAGATTTCTGGCTCAAGCAGTGCCACCAGAACTCAGTTCCTTGTCTCTCAACTCAGCTCTGCTCGTCCCTTGTTGGCTTTATTCTCAGAGAGGTTCTTCACTCGCGAATGTAACACGGATGAGCAGCTGCAGATCTGACATCCTTTCAGTTTCAAAACCAGGAGCCAAAAGTGATTTCTATTAAAATGTCCCATTGATCTCATTGGCTTCAGTGGGGTCCCATACCCATCTCCGAACTAATTTCTGTAGGTCAGGGGGATGCAATTGGCTTAGGACTGAGTGCCATTCTGCATTCCTGGGTTGGATTCCCACTCAAAGCCTATCAGAGTATGGAAGAGGTGATGTCTAAGAGGAAATAATACACCCAAACATCAGGTAACAACAATAATAACTGAGCTTATATATCATTATTATTCTATTCTGATCATCAAGTTCTATTCTGGTCACCAGTGATTAATAATCTTCAGGCAAAAATTTCTGCTTTGCATGGTTATCTAAAGAAAGTGGAAGGGATGCTGAGCATTTAACAACAATAAGAGCCGCAAATGTCTGCTGTAGTTTAGTGTCCAAATATTTTTGGCCTTCAAATATTCTTAGAAAGTATATAACGTATACTGATTGAAGCAGCATCCACAGCAGCCTGGCTATGTGGGTATGGACGTGTGGTTGGAGCTTTCAAATACTTGTATATTTTGTGAACAAAGGTCAATTTTGAAGCCAGAATTGGGCACTATTGGTAGAGGATTAACTAAACCCTTTCCACTTCTGCATGAGAATTTGACCTCTTGTTAACTCTGTAGCTCTGTTCCCCTGGAAACCTGAAAATGATACAAATGTCAGTAATATTGTTAAGCAACATTGCTTAGGGTAAAAATGACCCTTGGTTAGTAAAAATAGCTATCTGGAATTAGGGAAATTTCCCTGGTCTGGCCATGACTGTTCTCCAAGAGGAGCTGTTTGTCCATTCTGCCCCTGGTGGGCTCTGTCCTCTGGGAGAGTTCCCTGTCCCTTACCTTCCCTGACTTCATCTGAAGTGAGTGGTACGGGGTAAATCCTCTTTGGTATCTGTGCAGATTTAGTAAGCCATTTCCTAACCATCTTACTGCAGAGTCCAGAGTCTTGCTGGAATTATAGTTGCGAGTTAAAGAGCCTCCACTGATTGGGGTGGTTGGGCTGTTAATGACAATATTAACAAGATTCAACATTTCTGTGATGCTTCTGCTTTCCAAATGCTTTTATATACATTATTGCATGCAATCCTTGAAACACAAGGTGAGGATGTGGGGCAGTGAGAAAGGCTACTGGGCAGTCCGAAGGGAATTTCTATAGGCCCATTCACCAGGCAAGAAAATACTTCAAGACTTGCTTCTGCTTTATGGGTCCACTTTTTCAGCCAATCCAGGCCATTTTGTGGGTCAGTTATTCAGCCAGTTCAGGTTGTTAAAAGTCTGACCTGGCCTCAGATTTGACGAGACATCCATTCTTCCCACCAAACAAATGACTTGCTTCTGGTAAAGGAGACTAAGATTCTCCTCATTCTGAGAAGCCATATTTGAGTCTGGAATACCTGATCCCAGCCTGCTATCTCCTTTTTATAGAACCATGGGATTTCAGCTATGGAAAAGCTGATAATATTGTTTAGACTCATGACTTTCACTCCATCTTCCCCAGTGGCTGAGTTCTTCAGAGGTGCCTTCAGGGGTCAGATCATAGCAGATGAGGTGGGGGGCTGGGGTTGAGAAGGGCTCACTAGTCTTGGCTCTGGGCTTCTCATCCTTCCTCAGCCAGGGCAGCCTGGCTTTGGTCTGTATCATTAGAAGAAAGGGTTCCACTACTAACAAAAAACTTGAAAACCGTTGTTAGCTAAATCCATCATCTCTGCAGATGAAAAACTTGAGGTCCAGAGAGGTGAATTGATTGGCCCGATATCACACAGATGCTCGCTGGATGAGCTGGCATTAACACTTGGGTGTCCTGAACCCTAGGTCAGTGCTCTCTGCACTGGAGTGTCTGTCTGTTCCTTTCTTTCGTGTGGTGTGTGCTGAGATAAAGGGTGGGCGACTTGGGCAGGCAGCTCCGCCTCTTGCTCTTTTTCTCCCAGTTCCTCATTAGGTGAAGCAAGAACAATCCATCCAGGGCAAGGATGCTCTGTGCACGCTGATGGTGCACCCTGCTGAGATCTTGGCACCTCTCAGGAGTTTTATCAGCTCTCATTTACTGAGGCACTGCCTGAATTCCTTCTGCCATTCCAAGTCCCCATCCCCCATGCCGTTGATTAACAATGCCATTTAAAATCTCAGGTAGGAGGGGACAACAGAATTGTCTCGTTAGATTTTGGGGTTCTAAATCTTGTTTTTCCCCAGAGTTGTGAACATAGACTGGATGTAGGTCAGCTGGATTCTGTCTCTATCCATGGTCTGAGAGTACTAAATATGCAAGAGATGGCTGCTCTGTGCGTGTCTCCTTCCCCCTAGTTCTCACCGCATAATGTTTGTTTCTGCTCAAGACTGGAAAGAAATGATTGCTTTAGATTTGCTTTTCTTTTACCAACTGGAGAAATACTTCACTGTGTCTTGTTTAAATGTGGCTTTTCACACATCTCCAGCTTTTATGGAGGGTGGGGGCATGAGTAATTTCCTTCTGTGTGTCTTATTGCCCCATAGATAAGAAAACAGAACCTCAATGTCTGGAATGCCAATGATTTAGGAAGTTTCTAGCAGGTCTGCCACTTGTTTCAACCACCAGGTTTTGTCCCAGAAAAGACTCTTATATTTTGGCTATGAGTGGAAGGGGATCTCTGCAGGCCAAGGGAAGGGGCCTTAGAAGTTGAAGGTGGTGTGGTATGACCCTAGATTCTAAACCTCCTTCCCTGTGCCTATCTGATGCTCAAGTGAGAGCCGGGGCTGCTCTGCATGAGAAGGTTTTGTGGTTTGGTATCTATCAGAGGAAATGACCAGGGCAGACTTCCTGGGTGGGAGTTTGCCCATGTTTTGAGATTTAAAGCCTACTTACTTTAGAATTAGAGTCACTTTCTCAGCTGCTTATATTCCATTTGTAATTCTCTTTCTGCTCCCTGCTTTGTTCCTTTGGTCTTTGACAAATGAGCAAAAATTCTTTTTAATAGCTTTAAAAAAGGTATCATAATGTTGTCCAGAGGGGAAAAAGTGAGCAAATTGCCTAATAGAGAAACATCGTGCATTTGAGTTTTTATTTGCTTAGTACTAAATCTATACCCCACCCCTCTTTTTCTAAATAGGAAAGTAGGAGGTAATTTTTACTTTTTCCAAAGTGCCTTCAGGGAAATCCCTTTTAAATCTATGGATTTTAGTCCAATGAGAGATCCTCTTCCTTCGGTCTAAATTTTGCATATCGTCTGTTTCTTACAGGGCTTCCGTATTGTCTCAGCCTCCACTGGAAATGCAGCAAGGATTCCTAGCACATCCCAGTTGCCATAGCAACAGCAGTCTTTCCCATAATGAGCTGCATCATCTGAACTGATGTCACAGCATCATGCAGCAGGTCAAACAAGGCATCTCCTAGTATTGCATCCTACAGATGTGCTGTAAACATCAAAAGAAGACGGTGGGAACAGGAGATGGTGAGTGTTAAATGTCTGGGCCTTAATTGCACGGCTGTTTTCTTGGTTAGTCGGTGTCTGCTAAGGTGGAGATGGGGGGATGTTGTCTGCTTAAAATGGACTAGGGAAAGAAGGGCTGTTTTACCTAAATGTGTTTTTCAGGCTGCTGGGTTAAGACAAAGGCCTGTAAGAGTCACAGAGGAATCAAAATACGTAGAATTACTCTTGCTCTATCTCTGCCTGTTATTTTCAGTGCTCTCATGGAATTTTTCATAAACGTAAGTTAATTTTCTATTACAAAACCCCCAGTAGGCTCTAAAATAGTAGTTCACAGTATTTTAACGTTGTAAAGATATATATTTCTTTTTTATGGGGCAGAGCTAATTTGTCCCCTATTTGCTCTTGTGATTTATGAAATATTAAGTGATTTGCAGTATGAAATTCAGTATTTACCTCGATTGAGTTTCAGTTTCTTCATGGCGAGGAACGAGTGCTGAATAAGCATTTGACATAACCCTGATGTGAAAGGGGATCTCTTGCATGTTCAAGACAGGATTTACTAAAAACATCAAGACCCAAACCAGATGAAATTACTTGAGCCTTTTAATTTGTATGGGAGTCCTTCAACCCACGTCCTTCGTAGTTAGTTGAAAGACTGCCACAATGTTTTCCCATCTCTAGCCGGTCTCTAAAATAGCTGGAGTTATTTGCAGGCTGACTTGTAACCAGTCTCCTCTGCGGCAGTTGCAGTGGAGGGTAACCCTGAGGGGCGCCTCTGGAAGTGGCGGTGGTGTTGCTATCTCTTGCTTAACTTTAACCAGAATCTGGTAAGATGAATACATAGCAAGGTCCTCAGTGACTGTGGCAAATACAGATCTCTGGGCTTGGTCATAACCTCAACTCAATCCTGAAACTCCAGATAAACATGTATCGTGCCCATTTCGACTCCTCGCTCTGTCTTTAGGCGTCTTCATTATTATTATTATTTTTTTTTTCTAAAAAATATGATCTGACAGTGTCAGAGGAGGAGCAATGTGTTGTCTTTTGTTTTGGAAAATGAAATGGATTTCCCTGGTGCAGCTGGTTGCCACTCAGGGAGAGAAAGGAGGATGCACATGTCAGTTCAGTTGATCAATATGTCCACTTGGAATCAGGGAGTGGTCTTTTGGCTCAGTGCTGCCAAGCTGATAGTTTTTATTTGAAAAGTCTTACAGGAAAGACTAGCAACCCCTGAACTCCTCTTCTTTTAGGCTGTTTATTGAGCCTAAAGGAGATGTATCATAGGAAGCAGGAAAAGCGAGACCTCTAGCCAGCTTGGAGTGATTTTTTTTTTTGCAGAGTCGAGCATATTGGTCCCATTAGGCACTAGCTAGAATGAAAGACCTCAGATTTTAATTAGTTTGTTTATACACATTACACATGCTACTCTCCGTCCTTTAAGCTTGTGTGGCTGACATGTGGCCTTATGGGATGGGAGCGGTCAGCTCAGCCTGGCTCTATCACAAGCACTTGGGAGCGTGGATTGTTCATTGCCTGCTTTTTATGTCACATAATGTGAACAGAAAGCTCTGCTGGGACTTCTGGGTGTGAACACAGCTAAGTCAGAAGCTCTAAGGTGACAGGGAGGAGTGCTGGATGGTGATGGGGGAAGGGAAGTGTGTCTGGTGGCTGGATTATGAGTCTGGAGAAAATCACTCAGTGCCCGTTAGAATTCTTTTAAAGTATGACTTCCAAGGACAAGCCACGAAGAAAGACTTGTTTGGTGACATGAATTGCTAGGAGTAAAAATAACCAAAGGCAGCATTTTAATGAATTTTCTATTTGCTTAATTTTTGTTTCTTTTGTCTAATAGTGCTCTCAGCTGCTTCATCATGGGTGAATTGTACACTTACTGGAAGTCGCAGAAGCTGGATTACTTGAGGGCGATGTTAGAAAAAGTGGAGTCATGCTTTGAGGGTGGGGAAGGCGCTGGTGGGTGTGGGCTGACGCAGTTATCCGGTGGAATATTCTCCCAGTTCAGAGGAGCCGGCGATCTCTCCTCACCCCTGCAAATGTTCAAAATGCAGGTGCAGCTCCCCAACTTTATGCTTTTGTGCTTTTTTTGCTCCAGGAGAACAAAAGGGCTAGTAATGGGAGCTGTCATCCTGGGTGCTCGGTTTCTTTGCACAAGGCCACAGCCTGTGCTGCTCTCTGATGAGCTGTGTGTCTTCATTACTGGCTGAGGCTATTTCAGTTGCCTTAGTTTTAATATATCCCCAAGGGGTGGATGGGGTGTGTGTGGATGGGGGAAGGGAGAGATTGCTCTATGGCTGCATTGAGTGGTGTTTCACTGAAACTTTCTAGAATTTAAAGAATTTTGTTTCACAGAGATAAATGAAAGATCGTCAAGACCATATTTACTGTGTGGCCAAGTTTAGACCATGGGAGCCTTACAGGAAGCTAACCTCCATGGTTTTGGTTATGGCTTTCTTTACTGAATTACAAAGTTACAAAGAAGTTAATTCTTTGTGGATAACTAGGCCATGATGGGGGTGATAAAAATAATAATCATAATAACAACCACAGCTATCATTTGTTCAGTTCTTATTATGTATCAGGGACTGGACTAAACCTTGTATATATCTTATTTAGCCGTTATAATGACATTGTGTGGTAGAGTAACAATCCTACTTTATAGGATTAGGTGTTATTATTCACATTTTGCAGAAACCAAGTTTTAGCCAGATTAACAAATTTAGCTAAGGTCATATAGTTAACAAGTAATTGGGCCAGGGTTCTAAACCAATGCAATTTGACTGTGACGCCCACATGCTTACCCACAGTCACCTTAGTTTTATGACATCTTTATTGTGTATACCATACAGAGCAGTCACCTTACTTTGTCCCACTCACCCCACCCTTTCTCATTCTAATCAGAAAATCACATTTTACATGTAGAATGAAATCCTATTTATAACATGATGATCAGTTTTACTGCAGGGATGAGCATGAACCTTGGTCAGATCCTACTCTGATCCTAGAGATTTAAGTAATGCAGAATTGGTGCTCAGACCTTTTTCCACTACCCTTGCTTGATGTATCTTTCTAGCAGGATCTGTGTACGGGAGTACAGAATGAGCATGGGCATGACGGAATTATACTAAAAGCAGGTCTTACTTGGGTCAGTAATGATTCGAGTTTGTTGTGCCTGTCTTATTGGCTACATATGTAGTGCTCTGCTAACTTTAAGACGTTTGCATTCCCTGGGAACACCAGGCAAGGAATAGAAGAGGAAACTTCTCTCACAGCCAGGAAGGTGTACTCCAAATCCATCTCTTGGGTCAAGAAGATAGAAAGAGAGTTATTTTGCTGAGTGTATCAGTGGCTGAATCCAAAAGCTGCCTATCTGACAAAGTACAAGAATGATGGTCTTGTGCAACATCCTGGAAGCCTTGTGCTTGAGGAGAGCTGATACAGTCATCTCTGCATCATCTTGCCCATCCCCAGCTATCCACACCCAGCGTCATTATTGGGCTCTCAGGGCTGTTCTTTGTTTGACTGTGGGGCTAATGCACACACTGACAGCACATTGATATTGATTCCGGTATGGTGAATACTTAGAAATATTATTCCACAGAGCTCATTAGCCTTTTCTGGGTTCTGGGAAGAAGTTAACCTTTGTCCCAGCCTGCTCTAAGCTCATGTCTGCATGCCTTACAGGAATGAGAGGCTGATCAGAAAGCAACAGTTACTGGGTACAGTGACTCTGGGAGCCAGTGGAATTTAGGGAAGTTGGTGGTCCTGTTACATGTCTCTGATTCCCTTCTATTTGCAACCCTAGAATCAATGAATGGTGATTTGTTTTGATCTTGTGAATTCAATTCAATTCAACAAGTATTTATTGAGTATCTACTATGTGCCAGGCAATGTCAGGGAATAGAGCAGTGAACAAGACAGATGCAAATTTCTTCTCCCACTACATTCTAGAGGAGAGACGAAAACAAACAGGTAAATTCATAGTGGAATAATTTATTCTCTCTGATATTGTAATAATATTTCTATTTCTATTTACTTCCATTCCACGTGCTAATAGATAAACCCACTATCTCTGTACAAATGTATAGGTGCGTATGCATGTATGGTCTACACGTGGAGGTAAAATCACTGCATTGAATAATAGCTTTGGGTTATTTTTCTGCTTGAGTTTGGATTAGAATCTTTCTGGGTGTGGACAAAGCCAGTATGGCAATTAGCATTTTGTTGATATAAGCTATTCTGAAAAGTATAATTGTAATCAACCAAAAAGTACATGTCTATCTCAATTGACATAAACCTGACGTATGGAAATATGAAGTGATTATGACAGATCAGTTTAGGAGAGATTTTTTTTTTCATTTTTAGAAAAGATATTTCTCACCTTTAAGAATGTTTGTCCAGAGAACCCTCTAAATCAAATATCTCAGCCAGCGTGCTGGTGGTGGTATGTGCCATTTGGGGGGTGGGTGTGCCAGTCACCTTCAGCCATGAGCAGCCTGTCCATTCACCCTAGTATGCCTTACAAACATCACTTTAAATAGGAAGCATTTCTCTAAACAATCATATTTACTAATGTATTCAAAACTATAACTGTATTTTCCTGAAATTTTTCAGGCACGTGTTCACGCACGTGTAAGGTGTGTCTGACTTGTGACAGCCGCCTGCAGATTGACTGTTCCTCTTTGACAGCAACTGCACATATCCAACTCCGTGGATGGGCCATGAGTGGGAAGGCTTTTCAGGGGAATATCACTTTTTATAGGACTTTGGTTATAGCAATAGACTTTTAGGTATTTTGGATTGATAAGATAGAAGATTTCTTTTCCATGAGCACATACCTGTCAGCAGCTGAATCCCCCAGTTGGTATTAAGGCTTGATGAGGACAAAGGAGAGACTTAGTTTCCCATGTAAACCACCAGCCATGTTTTTCTCTGTTCTTCAGCTACAGGGCATGCTCCAGACTTTTCTAGCCATCTTACAACTGTGTGCTTTGAGTCATGAGGGGAAACAGGGAGAGAATTTCGAATCTTTAGAACAGGGTCTCGAAAATGGGTGATTCACAAGCTGAACCTGGCCTGCAGTCACACAGGGACCTGCACTTAGAAGCGTCCACACTTGGTTTAATGCTCTGCTGTCAACATCTTGAAATTCTTAATAATTTTTGAACAAGGAATCCTGCATTTTCATTTTACAGTGGACCCTGCAAATTATGTAGCCAGTCCTCTGTGGCCCTTTTGATATAAGACATTGACACACAATGAATTTCAAGCCTCTCTTTAAGAATTAGATGACATGGCTTATTTGGCAAGAGTTGACTGCCTTTGGTGGAGTAGTATTCTCCAATTCATCGTGGTCTGCCCCCACTCCCATCCATTTACCCCCACTGCTCCTGCCTGAGCCTTGTGGGTGTTTGAGTTTGAGACCTCTGCTCTGGAACAATTCAGATAGAAATTGTAGAGCTTGATAAAACTAAAGGACCATTGTCAAAACAACCCAGAGCAAAGACCCTGTGCATGGTAATTTAGAGGCATCCATGGTAATTCAGCGCTATGACAGTAATTCAGTGGCATTTCTTTTATAGGCAATGGGGGACATATTACATTATACCTGGAGATATTTGGTAGGTCAGACTTATTTGTCAGCACCATTGCTTTCTGGGGAGAAATCAAATCTTTACAAAGCACACTAATTAACTATCCTATTGGTTCATTGTTTATTTTAATTCTCCTACCCTTTGTTAACCACTTAATTACTTTCATCACCTTCTTTGTTTAACTCTCATTTAAATTACACAACATTTTTATGCTGGCTGGGCATTTTTTTAGCACTATCCTTTTTGTCTATTCTTTCTTTCCAGGAGGCTGGGGGCCTATAGTTTGAGGTTATATTACTGCAGGAAGGGTTCACATTTTTTTTTAATTAAAAAGGGAATTACAGTCAATATTTATAATGAACTCTTCTCCATCAAGGCTGTTCCAGCCGTGCTGATGTTCATAAGTCCAGATCTGCCATTACTGTTTATAATGAGATGCTGGTGACAGACTCCTGGACCTTATAATAGGTGAAGCATTCTTACCGTGAGAAGTGGCTATATTAATCTACAGATATGTAGAGTTGGTAGAGATTTAATATGAATGACCGCACTTGCACAAGAAAAAAGTAATCTTATTTATTTATTTTTGGCTCTGTGAGAGTAAACAAGGACCTGACAAATCCATAAGGGGCCCCTGTTGCCTCTCAGAGGACTAAAGAGGGTAGAGTCTTCCCCAAGGATCAAGCCTCAAGGACTCAAGGCCTTCCTTGGTGCCCTGTAACCATCCTAATGCCCACCTTGTCCACCATTGCACAAGCTGTAAAACCAGCTTTTTCAAATAATTTCACCAGTAGTTAACAATCAACAAATGTGTCAAATGTCTACCATGTGCAAGATCATGTGCTGAAGGAAAACACTTTACAAATTAGGAAGACAAAAGGTGCGCACATGTATATTGAGAGCTTGTAGTAGATTTAACCCTGTGTTGTCTGGGTTCTGCTTGTAGGAGGTCCTGATTAGATCTTCCCTGGTTCTGGAGGTACTCTGAGATGAGCTCCAGGCATATCTGGGGCTGCCCTCTCATCTTCTATTCTTTTCATTCAATTCCTTGATTTAAGTGTGTTTTCTTACATAGCTCATTTCTTTTTCTGGCCCACTCAAAATCATTGTTTCCCACCCCCTTTCAGCTTTTTCAGTTCTTAGTGCTTATAGTTTGTTTCTATCCCACCAGTCTCCTGTCACTGTCTGTCACCTTCTGGGACAGCTCTGAACCCACCATAATTCTCCCCACCAGCAGCCCCCCAGGCCCCCATCTCCCCTGCCACTGTTTGTTCCCATTACATTAGCATAAAAATAGCCTATCTAAAGCCCAATGACCCTGCAGCTCCCCTTGTGAAGTAATCTGTTTACATTTAGCTTTTAATCGTTAATTCAAATATTGCACTGTATTTAACCTGTTTTTTGTTTTTGTGTGAGTTAAAAGGGAATGACTCTTTAAAACTCATATTAGTCATTCTTGCGGGTAATCTGTGTGAAGCATCAACTAGAAATAACCAAAACAGCAGGGCCTTAAGTGGTAGAAGACTATATGCAAAAATGAAAATAGGTGTGCAAATGTAGTTTTAAAAACATTTGTCCTTTAGTGTTACTATTACATTGCATTTTCAATTAAAAATAAATAAAAATGAGGGGGAGGGGGTGGTGAGAAGGTGGGCAGCACAGCAAGGCCCCAGAGAGATGCACATTTTTTCAGCCTTCGCTAGGAGTGGCACACAGCTTCTAGAATACCTGTCTCAGAAGAGCAGCTGCTTGGAGAGGAAGGACAGATCTGAAAATAAAGGTAAAAATAAAAACAGGTGTGATTGCTCAGAGAACTAATAAAGAATCAGACTAGTGAATTAAGATATTATGGTTTTCACTAATTTAGTCATAAATAATTGATAACATGATTTTTAAACAGTTGAATTTTAACTAACTGAACTGCAAAGGAATAGGCTGAGAGGCAGAGGACCAAGAAAAAGGTAACATGACCAGCTGAAGAAGGGACACGTCTCATCATGTTATTTTTTACTTAGAGAGTTTTTCCTTTTGTTCTTTGTTCTGGTTAGTATTATTTGGTTTATTTGTTGTGAAGGTGAATAAACCCATATGTTTTGTTTTAATTTTTTTTAATTATCCTTTAAGAAAATGACAATAATCATGGTCTCTGGCATGATGTTTTTCTCTGGTTCTTAGATGCTAGATCTTAACACCACACTGTGTAAACACCACATATGCTTAGATACCCATACAAGAAGTAGTAAAATGAGTGCTGTCAACCAGCTTGAGGAGAAAACAAAACACTCCTTTTCAAAGATACTCTAGAACCTCAAATGGTAATGGAAATGTCATATTACCAGTCCCAAAGTGATTTTTTGCAATGGCTTGCACCAAATAAGAGGTTTCCATTTTGAGTTTTAGAATCTTAAAATCCAGCAATTTACATGTATGTATATAGACTGATACTCTCTGTGCAGGAGATTAGTTGGGGGGGTGAGGAGTGGCGGGCAGGGGTTGGTGGTCCCATGGGAGCAATAGCCATATTTCCCTTCTTGATTCATTCCATCTCCTGACACCGTAAACCTAAACACTAAACAGGAACGGAGCCTGGCTGGTGGATTTTGGAGCTCGGTGTATTTACCTTCGAATCTTAGCTCTAACAGAAAATTATTAGCACTGTGATCTTGAGTTTCTTAGAGTGTCATTTTCCCTATATAAAACTAGGAGAATATCCATTTTACAGGATGAAATGAAACATTTTTATGTAAAGTTATTGGCACAAAGCAGGCCTTTGATAAATAAAAGTTATTATTATTATTTCACTCCGCAGAAGTGGTAAGATAAGATTATTACTCCCCCAAGAAATGTAATTTCTCCTTAACTCTAATCCTGAAACCAGGGAAATAATTTTCAGAGCTTTTATTAGTGGAAAGAAGAACACTGTAATGTATTTTAAACGCTTATACTGTGCTATACACATATATTATCTCACTTAATTTCCTTTCCCTGCTTAATTTTTCTCCATAGCACTTATCACCATCTGTAAATGACACATTTTACTTATTTATCGTTTGTGTCCCCTTCGTATAAGGCAAGTTGCAGGAGGGCAGAGATTTTTGTCTGTTTTGTTCGTTGGTGTTTCCTTAGCTCCTAGGATAGTGTCTGACATACGGTAGGTGCTCAATACATGTTTGTTGCAAGAATGAATGACTCCACATAACCCTATGAGGGACGTACCAGGATAGTCCTCAGTATGTAGAAAATGAGCTCTCTTTTGCAATGATGCTTTTCAAGGTTCTAAACACTCTTGAGTGATCCTTGCTATTCCAGATAGCATGCCAGAAGCCCTTGTGGTGGAGGGTGAGGGCGTCACGCAGCATCTCATTATTCAAAATTCTTCTGTAGAAAGCAGGGATGTTGACCGGGATGCTCTGATGGGCTCCTCCTCTCTGTTGGGTTTCTACCAGGGAGCTGGCCTTTCCTAGGTCATTTGAAAGACACATTTGTTCTTCTATAGGTAGTTGTTTCTTTCTATCTATCTCTTTAATGAATTTGAGTCTCCTTCAGGAACAGTTATTTATTCCCCTTTAAAACCGTGAATCCTTAGCTGTAAATCTCAGATTGATTGATGGATTGGTGGATTTTGAAAGTATTTTCAAGGAAAACACAAGATAGGGAGAATGATAAGGCATGGCAGTCAACCTTTCCCTATTGCTATTAGAAATGTCCTAATGAGAAATAAAGCAAAGCACAGGCACACAACAACACAGTTATTTGGCCAGAAGAACACACAGCCTCATAACTGAAGGAAATAATTAAGATAGCCGATTTCTGCTATTTATTTTGAATTAGAGGCAAACTGTCTTTTAGCAGTGGATCCCTATAGCTGAATTTTGTACCAAAGATAGATTCTAAATGTCATGCTTTTGAACTGAGTATTTATGTCTCAGTGAGCAGGTGTGAGGGTTTTTTTTCCTGGAAATTCAAACCATTTTGACAGCATCATATTTTTAGAATGCCTTCCTCTTTAAAAAGGCAAAACAATATCCAAAAGCAATTAGAAAAACATCGCGGGAGAAGGCAGTGTTCTGGTCATGCCATAACAATAATGGACTGAATAAGAAAACGTAGTGCTGTTAAATTTTAAAACTCATTTTTATTTTATGGTTATGAAACATATTTAATATATTTACTCTTAGCAACCTTATCATGCTACAATGTAAAAATTATGCCTCATGAAAATTTGCTTACATCTGCAGTACATGCCATGGCCAGTTGCAATACACAAGGACATTACTGTGCTCCAATAGCATGTCATTCTGATCTATTTTAAAGAGCCCGGGTTTGGAAGTAACGAACCCGAGTTTTAGTACCTTCTGACATAATCTTCCTGAACGTTAGTTTTCTCCACAGTTAAACAAAAGGCTTAAATTTAAATGACTTTGGTCTCCTTTTAGCTCTATTTATAGCCTCACTTACTGGGTTCTCCATATCTTTCAATTGTTCATCCTTGAGATTTTCCAAATTCCATAGAATATTTTAAATGTGCTTAGTGCCCTCATGTAGAGGAAAACGTATTTTAATTTATACACAACAAATTTCATGCTTGTGTGTTTCATTAGCTTGTGTTTGACAGTACTCTTGGTGGTTAACCTATAGTCAATACATAAGATTTCACTTAAGCTAACAAAGTTTGGTCTTTCGCAACAAACTTTTTAACAGTTTCGTTATCTCACAGATGAGTGTATTTCTATTTGTTCTTTCTCTTTTTAGCCATAACATGTACTTTCTTTTTATGAGCTGAGTGAAATCTTTGGTTCTCATCTACTGTTCTATGGGGCATGGAATCTCTTTAGAAACTCACACTGCTGCTCCAGACATTCATAGAAAGCACCAGTGTGTGTGCTTTTATAAGGGCACACCATATGGAATTCCCATTTTTGTAGATCAAAAGTGGCCAAATATTAGCAGTTTCACGTGATTCAACCCAATAATTTTTAAATTATCATAACTGTTAGTCTTTACTATTTTGATAATTCAATGATGAAAGGCGGTCCTTAAATGAGTTAGTGAAGTAGTGCAAACAGCATGCAGGGGCTTTGGTGAAAGACAGATCTGGGATTGAGTTCTGCTTTTCTGCTACTAACAACGTGCCTTGGGCAACTTGCTCAACTTCACTGAGCTCAATTTCCTCTTTTGTAAAGTGGAAATGTGAATGCCTGCCTCACAGTCTTGCTGAGAAGAGTGCTCATGGCTCCCAGAATGGGGCCTGAGATATGCCTGGCTCTGAGTAACTAGTCATGATGTTGTTACTAGTAACCTTCATAGTACTTCCCCAATCATAAATATATAAATATTTAGCTATTAAAACAAACAAGTGGGGGCCAGCCTCATGGTCTTGTGGTTGAGTTCGGCGTGCTCCACTTCGGTGGCCCGGATTCACAGGTTCGGATCCTGGCACAGACCTACACCACTCATCAGCCATGCCGTAGTGGCGAGACCCACATGCAAAATAGAGGAGGATTGGCACAGATGTTGGCTCAGGGCTAATTTTCCTCAAGCAAAAAAAAAGAGGAAGATTGGCAACAGATGTTAGCTCAGGGCGAATCTTCCTTGGCAAAAAACCAACAAACAAATAAAGTAGACCTAAATAGATTAAATGAGAAATGCTTACAAGAAGGGACAGATTTCTGAGAAGAGAAGTTCTGTCATCTAGGGCAATGTAGACTTTATTTTTTTTTCTGCAGAACATCTGTTGCCAATCTTCCTCCTTTTTTCTTCCTTTCCCCCCCTCAAATCCCCAGCGCATAGTTGTGTATAGTTGTAAGTTCTTCTGGTTCTTCTATGTGAGCCCCTGCCACAGCATGGCTACTGACAGATGAGCGGCATGGTTCTGCATCTGGGAACCAAACCTAGGCAGCCGAAGTGGAGAGTGCCGAACTTTAATCACTAGGCCATCAGGGCTGGCTCAGTGTAGGCTTTTGATAAGGTTTCCAAGGGACATTTTGGGGGGAATAGGAAGGTTGTCTTTCATGTCATCCTCAAATAACTATCTCTGGAGCAATAATTCCATAATTGATCTGGCATCTGCAAATTTACTTCAACTGTTCTTCTTTTTATATTTTGTTTTTTGTGAGTAACAGTAACAAACCTCATGAAAACTATGGAGTGTTAAATTGTATGTATAGATTTAAAATTTTATTTTGTTTTATTTTAAAACAAATAGATTTAAAATTTTATTCTGTAAAATTCTTTAAGCTAAAAAACGTCAAAGGGTTAAATGTTCACAAGTGTTCTATATATTTAATGCCTACCAGGTAAACAAGTTTAATGTTTTATTTAGTCTAGAATGACCCTCATGAGACTATGAGTCTGGTCGCAGACCGGAAGGAACAAATCTTTGACTCTCTTCCTTTTCTCCGGTTGATCTTGTGCTCGTTGATGGCTTCTCCATGTGCTTCTCCATGTAGCCATGTGCTGATGACTCATGAATTCAGATTTTTAGCTCCTGGTTATTTTTCCTGAGATTCAGACTTATATTTCTCCTGCTCTCTGTAGGTCTTCTCCTAAATCTTCCACAAGTACCTTCACTCTGCACACCTAAAATGATCTCATCCTCTTCCCCCTTACAAACTTGTTCCTCTGTCTGAACTCCCTGTCTGGAATAAAGCCTTGTCTTCAGTCCCATCCCTCAGGGTAGAGACTGGGCGTGGTCCTCAGCCTTCTGTTCCATCTCTCCCCTCACCCAAGTTCTGCTGAGTCACTAAGTCTTATAGAGTTTCTAACTCTCTGAGATTTGGTGAAAGTGAGCTTAGAATAATCCCAAATAATTTTTTATTGTGTCATAGATTCAGGTCATGTTCCCCCAGTGCCTAGCTTCCTGTTTCCAACAGTAGAACTGATATTATTAGAAATTCTCTTATGAAAGGCCCTTCCGTGCCCATGATCTATCTAGCTGTGCCCTGAATCTTTTCCAGCTCTGTTAAAGCCTGTGTCCAGGACAACCTCATGTATCTAGTGTGGCTAGTGTGCTGTGGTGGAGAGGAGGAAAAATGCACAGTGTGAGCACTGGATGTGGGCTCTAATGTACAAGAGGTGTGTTATCCTAGATGGAAAGAGTTTGTTATTTTTTTCCCTTCAAAACAAAAGTTTATCTGATTGGAAAGTTCCAAAAGTTGATAGATAAAGTTACTACATCCTGACTCAAGAGGATTACATACTGCTGATTTCAGCACCAGAATGTATTTCTTTTTTGCAGGCATGATTCTCATTTGTCTTTTGAATTAATTCCAATGGACATGAGCCAGTTTCGACTCTGTGGCCCACAACACTGGCATTGTTCACAGTAATGTTCACAAGAGAGCAAAGCAGCAACTCTTTTTCCCCTTGAAAGAGTCAGATGACTGGTTCCCATGAGGAAGGCAGGTGGCATGTTGGTGAGCTGGGTTTGGGGTCAATTAGATCTTCTGAATTCAAATCCCAGTCACGCACCAGCTCTGTGACTAGGGAAAGTTACCTAACCTTTCTGGGCTCTCCTTTTCTTCCTAGGACCTGCTTTGTCAAGTGTTGTGTAGTTTAGACACAATGTATGTAAAGCACTTAGCCCAGTGCCTGGGATACAGGAAATTCTCAGAGTGATCAGTAGAGGCTGTTATTTATAATGTGTGGGAGATCAAAATTGGCTACCCTGAAATATATTTCTTTACCTTGATTATTTTCTCTGATGGACATTTGACCTCTCCCAAACTACCTAAAGGAGTTTAACTCTGGGTGTAGACAGACTGGCAGAGTCCTCGCTAAGCCCACTCTTAACAAAGTTCTGTTTACCAAATATTTACATTTGTAAAGGTATCTACCTCTGTGTACTGGGAAGAGCAGGGGATGACCTTATCTGTGAAAACTCTTATCAGGACGGAAGAAGAAGACTTAAATGTACATACTCTTGATTACTATAATTCCTGTCTCTCCAGCCACATTCTCTATAGGTGGCCCTGCAAAGCATTGTCTGACGAACATTTACATTTCCCTCTTCATGTAAATTGTCTTCTTCCCCTCTGAAATCCCAAAACACCACCCACCCCCAACATCCTCCTTTGTCTTTAGCTGAAGATGGTATTTAAGAGGAGAATATCTGGATTGTGTTGAGAAACTGAGTTTCCCTGGTTTCTCCCATGTATACATGTTATTAAACTTGCTAATATTTTCTCCTGCTAACCTGTCTTGTTGATTATTTGGCCAGCCAGAAGAACCTTAAGGGAAAGGGCAGAGGGGGATTCTCCCTTTTCCCCGACAAATGTAAAAGGAGGACTGGTGGCCAGCCTCACTGCCTGGCCTTGCTTTAGGAGAATTTCTGCACCAATCTCAGACCTGTAGGATTTCAGTATTCAAATAAGCCTTGCACCAGCGTCTTGTCCAACTACCTGCTTCTTCCCTAAATTGGACAGGAACAGCCAATCACATCAGTCAATCACATGATCAATATTTAAATATCAAATTTTATTTTCCTTATGCTTCCTTTCTAATTTGGGGAGAATATTTCCATAGAAAATTGTTTCAGGCCCAGTGAATAATAAACCTTACTGTTAAAACTCTCATAATCTTGTCAAGGGAAATTCCACATTTTAAAATGTGTGTTTACTTCTCTAATATGGATTTAATTCACACAATCTGTTGCACACTCAGTTATTAAAATACTCTATACAGTTAATGTCACACTTTTCCCACAGGTGTTGAATATGTAAGCAGACATAGATGTTATTTACCCTGAGGAGACAAAATTGCTCAGAGGGGTTTTCCTGGTACAGGTAAAGCTTTGCCTTGGAAATGATTATGTGATTTAGCAATGAAGGGTTAATATTCCTTATCCTGTCAGCTGTGGTTGAGCCTGGAGCCTCTCGGCTTGAATTGCCTTCATCACTGAGCTGCAGGCATGTCTGGGCATGTCTGTGATGAGTTGGTGGTCTGTCCCATCAGTGGACAGAGTATATTAGCACCAAGGCAGAAGAGGTTTCTGGAGAGAACTCATCCTAAGAGAGGTGGAGTCAGCCACAAGAAGCTCATCACCAGAGGGTGGAGTGATTCTGAGCCAGTATAATGTGGGTCACAAGGGAGTGTCTTCTCTATGGGTCACTCCCTGGACTCAGGGCTGAGTCCTATAAAAGCTGGGGAGGGGCAAGTGGGCTGTACATAGGGGCTATTCCACTAAAGACTCTGTCCCTCGTTTGGGCACAAGACCACTGCTTCAGCAGCCTTCAGCAGAGTATATTGTACAAGAGGGAGAAAGGTGTGTTCCTCTCTATCCATGGATGCTTTAACCAGAGGTTCCCAAATTCTTTTGATTGACATCCTTATCTGTTAAAAAATGTCTAAGTGCTCTCTTGTATTAATATATATTTTATAAAACACGCACAAAAGTAAAAATAAAAAAGGATGAAACAAAAATTAAACAGAAACTGTTTTCTTCACTGTCTCTTCCTTCCCCTTCCCCCAGCTAAATAAACTATGAACTTAGGGGGCCTTTGAGCCTGGAGAGGCCTTAACCCTGTGAGGAAGTGTTGAGGGGGCCCTCTCCCACTCCCTTCCCCTTCTGAGAGTGGTCCATGTTTGCAGGCTCCTGAGTCCCCCAGCCCAGGGGCTCAGACCCATTGCTGTCCTTTCCCAGCTGGTCTTCCTGAGCCCTGGCTGCTCTCCTGCCATTTGTGGGGTTGGAGTGAGTGCATGGGTTGTTCTTATTCCCTTGTCTGCCTTGTACCCACAATCTCCCCCACCCCACCCTGTGTGACTCTTCTTTCTTCTACCTGTCCCTGTAAATACCCCTCTTCTTCCAAAACCACTTGGTGTGTGTTCTCTCAAAAAAGAAAAGATGTCTTGCATCTCCCATGGAGTGAGCCCCCACCCTACACCCACTGCTCTAGAGCATCAGTGGGAGGGGCCTGCTGGTGTCCAGAAATATCAGCTCTTCCTGGCAAAGGTGCCCACACTGTGACAAGTGTGCACACACGTGAGACCCATGCTGAAACTTCATGAAGTTCTATGTAGGGCCCTCTTTTCAGGAAGCTAGACTCTGGTGAGGCAGATAGTGAAAGAAACAGGAAAAGGTAAGACATTACCAACAAGGAGACACTGTTTGTACCTCCAGGCTTGTGAGCCTTGGGGAAACTTGGGTTGTACAAATCAAAAATATTTCTGAGACAGTATGTTTGTACTGGATTTTGGAGTTTACCATCAGCATTTCACATGTAACTCCTCAACAACTCTGTAGGGTATGAAGGCTGGAAATTGAGAATTTCCTTAAGCTGATTTGATCACATCCAATTCTCAGGTTCTTTTTGTACATCATAGTAGCCACCCAAGAAGTTTGAGGTGGTGTTAGGTGGCTACTCCTCCGCAACCTTGCTGTCAGGTTGTAATGCATGTAAGCCTCAGACCAAATTCACCACATGTACAGATATTTATTAGACTACCATTCGTTAGCAAAGTAGGCACAAAATATTGCGTACAATCTGTTTGGTAGGTTTGATGAAGTCCCAGCTCTGTTTCCTTTTAGATGCTCCAACTGTGAATTGAGTAAAAGCTTTACTTGAGGTAGGATTCTATATTCTTTAGTAAGCATCATTCAATCAGAAATTCTTCTAAACCGGTGGTTGGAAACAAGGACAGATTGGGGTGGAGCCTCAGACAACATCATGAAGGGGTATATCTGAGGATTCTTATCCTTTCTTTTTGCAAGTGTTTCTACAATATTTTAGCTAACTCACATGTCTTGAATACCTTTAATTTCACCAAGGAAAATCCATTTCTTACTTCTAGCTTGCTAAATGGTAATACAATGGTTATTGGTCAATAACAATGGTTATGATATTAATTAATGTAATACTGGCTGGCGCATGGCCCCACCCCTGGACTGTATATTCCAGATATCACTTAAGCTAACTCTGCCTAGAAATGGAGCTTAAATTAATTGTCATACATATCACACAAATTATACCAAAGTATTTTAAAGTAAATTACAGATCTTGTAACATTAGGCTACCATTTTATATTGAAGCTTATAATCTGTGATTTGCCCAAAGTCTCTTAGCTGGTGAGGGGTGGATAAAAAACTGAACCTAAGTGTAAATGACCCTCAATCCCCTGCTCTCTTTGTAACACCAGTGCACCTGACTATATGAACTTCTGGTGCTGGCCTCCTGGGACTGAAGCCCCCTACCTCTTGGCCACTTTTTAATAAAGTCTAAAGTTTACTAAATGGTAATATCCCAATGTTAGAAAGTAAGGAATCTGCCTCTTCTGCTGACCTGGTCCCTCCTGTACCCTTCCTGCAGAGAGGAAAGACAGTGCTCACCAGAATTACGGGGCTTTGGTTACATTCCCAAAAGATGGCTTTGGTTGCTTTGGTTCTCATAACTCTTTTCCTTAAGGAAATTGGGATATGTTTTCCAGGGCCTGGAGGACGTTTTTGTGAAGCCTCATGACCCTTGAGGGCCATGACCCAAGGGCAGAGGCTGCTCTGGACAGTGAGACAGAGATGAAAGGCTGGGCAGGTCAAGGACCTGAGGAGACAGCTGGATGGAGCCATGCCGGCGAGAAGCTCGAGGTGGGCCAGACCAGAAATATGCTAGACAGGCACCAGGGGACTTGAGAGCCTACAGCCTATGGTAGGGATCAACTGGCCCTGCCAGAAGAATGTAAGTCTGGGACAGAGAAGGATAACCAAAAATAAAATTAGTACATTCTGAGATACCAAGAGCAAAAAGCAGTTATACAAAAACAAATAAAAACTTGAAGTGTTTTGTAAGAAGAATGTGGATACTCAGAAGGTCGGGGAACTTCTGCTTCCTTTTTCTCCTGGCGTTCTTCCTGCAGTGCGTTTACCCTGGGCCTATGAGGCTTCTGATAGATCCTACACCAGGCTGAGTTTTCATGCTGCTCCCCACCCAACAACTCTGCAGGGCCCAGGGAATGCCCTGAAAGGTGCGAACGGCCCCATATCTTTTCCTCATTTCTATTCTTGTGTCCTGAGGCTGCTCATTGGTCCCAGGGTCCTCCTCACAGGTTCTCCCAGGACACTTCTCTGATTCTCAGGCCCAGAGAATTTCTGGTGGCCACTCTGACCGGCCAGAGTACTGAAGGTAGAGGCCCCTTTAACCATCCCCTTAGGACACTTACTATGGGTTATCGAATGCATAAAAGGGACTCTCTAGTACCTATTACTCAATAAGAGCAATGGCATTGGTGTCTGACACAACATGAATTGTTTGGATGGGCTTTTACAGATCTATTGGACAATAGCCACTTCCATATCGACGACATTGCAGTATTTCAAAACAACAGCTATTCTGGGCAGGAATTCAAAACTGCACTCTGTGAATCCAAAATGAGTTTGATTTGTATATGGGAGTGATGTTTTTAAATGCCTTTCAAATGTTTCATTTAAACTTAAAAACTTAAAAATCAAGGGACGTCTTTTTTCACAGAAGTCTTTTGATTTTACGGCTCTGTGTAGATACTAGGAAAAGAGGAAAAATGTTTTATGGCCAAAGAATGTGGAATCCTGGGCCAGGGTGGAGGAATGTCTATTTCTTGGCCTTATATGGTCTTGAGCCTCAGAAATATAGAAAGGTCTGTGGGCCTATTAGGACTTGATATAATGACTAATTGGGTACAATTTTTGTTTAGGATTTGGAAGTTCCAAATTTATTAAAAATGTGCATAACAATAATAATAACAACAATAATGGCTTTCTTCCATTTATTGAGTGCTCACTGTATGTCAGGCTCTACGGTAAGAAGTGCTTCACACACACTAACTTATTAAATCTTCAACAAATTTATTAAAAAGTAGTTGAAGAGACATACTCAGTGCCCAGATCTTGGCTTCTAAACACCATTCTCCAGTAAAATGAATCAGGGCTCCTTGGAGAAAGGGCTAATTTTAGGGCAGGGACAGTGAAAAATTTAAGCTGAGTATGAACGTCATGTAGAAGGCTGGGGCATGTCAAAGGGACATAGGAGCCATGCTGAAAGAGCTTCTAATGGCCAAATTTGGAATACTTTGAGCAGTAAAATAAATAATTTGGTATTGAGTTATAATCCAAAGTATAAGATAAATATACATGAGTGCATATTAATATAAGTAAATGAATATATAAACAGGGAAAAGAAGCAAATCTTCCTTACAGGAGAATTCCAAATAATGTATATAAGTACTCCTATCTCTCGGAGTAG